GGGGGCTCTCTCTGGAGGGAACACAGGGATTTTAGCCTTTGCAGACCGATTTACATGCACAAAAACCTATATAAAAAACACTACACGAAAGGGAAACCCCCAAAATCAGTAATAGGGCCTTTTTAAGTGGATCATGAGTCATTGGTGGGCCGGTTGCCATAATCAGTTGTGGGGTTTCTTTGGGAGATTTCCTTAGACGCTGTGACTGTATAGGAACTGTACGGACTGTAAAATCCCTAATCCCAAATGTGAGATTTGTTATATTGGGCTATTTATTAGTTATTAACATTTGTTGATTGATTGATTGATTGAACAAAGTCATCAGCTCTTTTCTGAATTATAATATTTCAATAATACTTCAAGTGCTGAGCGGCTACACAGATAAGAGCATGCTGGATAAATCACTTGATCTCGAAAGACTCTTTGCAAGGCGCTATGTGGACACAGGTCCTTAGTAATTACTGGAGCAGCCAGAAGCACAGCATTTTGCATTTAACTGAACTAATATCACTCCTAACAACAAACTGCCCAGCGTGTAGTACAGGTGAACCACTTGAAGCGGATATTTGAATCGAACCCAGCTACGGTGGAGCGAGCTCATCTCCATCATTCGGCCCCTACAGGGCAAACCTGCGAGTTCCTTTGAATGTAAACCAAATAAGCACAGGGACCTAAACACATCTGCAGCTGCAGTCTGGCACCATTGATTCTCGCTCTGGGCAGTTGATGTCATGTGGAAATGCTGTGAGGTGTAGGGGGGGGTTGGAGGCCTGGCCAGCGTTGGGGGGCTCCCCAGGTGTTGGCCTGAGGCAGCAGCCCCTCAGCAGCCTCACCGCCTCCAGTGCAGACATCTCTCACTCTGTGGAGTCTTTCTCCAACTTTTAGAAGGACCTTTGCATTGTGCTTTAGTGTCTTTCTTCCTCATTAATGCCACAGTACGCTGATTTATCTGATTCTCCCTCCTCTGCTCCGGTGCATTCATGCAGAATCTAACTATTTGTCAGCGCCGTGCCCTTGGGAGCGTTGATGCACGTTTCCTAAATCCATTTTCTGAGGCATCTCACAAAGGATGTTGTCTTGATGTCAGCAGGACAAGATTACCATGCTTCTCTGATCCTTGAGTGGGAGTGCCGGCGAAGATATCCAAATGTTTGCTATTGCCATTGCTTAATGAATGGATCCTTCTCTAAAAACTCCCATCTTTTTGCAGAAAAGGATCATCATGGAACTAAGAGGATAACGGAGAGAATAGAACACACTGCAGTGAGGTGCATGTCAGTGTTTCCCGAGGAGAAAGAGAAACTGACAGAGCTCGGGGAAGGCAGTCGATATGAGTTGATATGTGACATGAGAGAGTGAGCGGTGAGGAAGAGTTAAGGCGGAGAGATGGTGATGAATATGACATTGGAGTCCATGCCCTGCAGGAGGAGAGGAGTTTTCATTCCAGGAAGAAGTCTGACCTGCTGCTTCTTCCTGACGCTCACTTGAGGAGTAGAGACGTCTTAGTGTGTACAGTATGTTTCTGAATGAAAGTGAGGATTCAGGCTCTGGAGAGGAAAATCCCTTATTATCCGGCTGAGTGCAGCTCTGCAGCCCTCTGACCTCCAAACCCCCCCTGGACCACATGTGAGGTGTGCTGGCAATCCACATGAACTCACACAACTGCACACATTACAGTGTCAATCCAAATCCATGAGCTAATGACAAAGCTCAATCCTCTGTTACAGTTCTCTACCAAGAGCATTACTAGATAAAATTTGATTAGATATACTTTGTTGATCCAAATTAAGGTTATTATTTTCGTTATAGCAGCATGTAGGGAAGGGATTGCACATGAAATAGTAATGAGACATAATGTTAAATAAACAAACTTCAAAATAGAAACAAACAAACTCAAATAGTGTCTTCAGTTTCCTAGCATTCAGCATGTAACTACTTCTGCTTCTTTTAAATGTTGATCAAACTAAGCTAATGCTATTTTCAAAAGCCAAAATGCCACCAGAGACCACTTTGGATATTGTTACAGCGCAAGGACAAGTACTTGAAGTGGTTGCCTGTTATAAAAACATTGGTATCTGGCTTGATGATTGTCTCACTTTTAAACTTCAGGTCAATAATCTGCTTAGAAAGCTGAGGGTGAAGCTAGGTTTCTTTTTCAGAAACAAGTCCTGTTTCTCGCTTGAGGCCAGGAAAAGGCTAGTCTGTGACCTTTTTACCTGTGCTGGACTATGGTGATCTGGTTTATATGAATGCGCCTGCCCATTACCTGAACAAGTTAGATGCCGCCTATCACAGTTGCAAAAGGGCTCAACTCCTTCGATGTATTTCCTCCTACTCTTCAACTTGTGTGTGTGTCGGTGTGTTTGCATGTTTTTCAATTGTGTCAGTGTGTATGCATACACTGCAGTGTTTGAGGTACTTGTCACAGCAGGGAATGCTCGATCATTGATTTCAAAGTCTACTCCTAGCTGCGGTGCCCCCCCCCCTTACACACACACACACACACACACACACACACACACACACACACACACACACACACACACACACACACACACACACACACACCCATACACACACACACCCACACCTCTTCTTTTTTCTCTGCCGACAACAATAACAACAATGCCTACTTAGGCCATAATAAATGGCTGAGTCTTGCAGCCTTTGTTTACTCATTTGTGACTGTCAGCCAGCTGTTGTCTCCTGCACTGTAAGCCCCCACCCTCACCCCCCATTTCCTGTTCCCCAAGCTTTGGTAGCCATCTTGGATATCAATGCTATGCCATGTAAGAGCAGCTGTTACTGATATAACAGGGCGGTTTTTGTTGCAGCAAGACATTCAGCACTGACACACATTGTGCTCCAGACAAATGTTGAACTATTTTCATACAATATAAAGTCATTTATCAGGAGGCCAATTCAAGTTAGTTAATTCAAGGATTAGTGCTTTAACAATAAGACAGAGTTACTGCGGTAGTTTCCCTAAAAGCTATTGTGTGTTTGGGGTGCTCCCTTTCTGGTCTGTAAAGACTAAATTCCATGTGTTCCCTCCAGAGGGAGTTCCCACCCCCCACCCCTGCCTGAAACACCTCCATTTGATTCATTGTTTACTTCTGTGACAAACTGACACCACTATGTAACACTCTCGCTTTTATTGGTTGGCGCTTCAACATGTTGTACATGATATACTAAGGGGCGGGACACCCTAAGCGGCTGACCAATAACAACAGTGCCGGCCAGCTAACCGATCAGAGCAGACTGGGCTCTGGTTTCAGACAGAGGGTGAAAAGAGGTGCTGCAGCACAGGCAGTATGAGAAACATAAAGAGCTTTTTGGACATAATACACAATATGGAAATAGGAACCTAAAAATGTGCATAATATGTCCTCTTTAATAATTGTATATATTTCTGAATATCCTTAGGAAATTACTCTTAATAATTCAACGTGGTTTATCGCAACAAAAAATACCAATTCATAATCTCTTTCATAGTCACAGATAATAAGTAACCTTATATAATATCCTGTTTTTGACATTAATTGAATTATACAGTGATTATAATAATCTGCAGCGGGTGTTTTTCTCAATGGTCTTGAATTTATATGGAAATAAGCACTATGAGAAATGAGTGTTACTAAATGTGGTCTGAGGTATATGCGTTTACTCAATAGAACTTGATTATATACTTTTGCAATTCTTTATTGTAGAGTCAGACTGAAATGAAAGAACACACAAGTATGACAACACACATACACACATTTACACTCAGACATCTCCATACCAGATGCATGGCTCCTGTTTCCGAATTGATTAAGTCAATTACGTCCCATAACAGGCAGGAGCTCGGCCGGACATGGATCTGGGAGCGCCTTGGGCATGTGGTCGGCTCCCAACTGGGGGCATAATGGGAAAACAGCAGTTGGCCTACGGAGAAATGTCCTGTGCCCAGAACCCTGCCACTGCTGAGACAGAGAAGAACTTTCTGAAAATATGCAGGTTAATGTGAAAAGCCCCAAAAATATCCTGGAATTAGATTAGGAAAATTATCTATTGAGCAGTTGTATCCAGTGCAATTACTAAAAATCTTAAAAAATGAAAGCATTAGTTATTGGTTTTAACGCCTAATTACAGTGCATGTTTAAGACTCCCTAAAACAAAATTCGAATGAATCTTGTCTGGTGTAGGAGCCAAGGTTGCCTCAAAACCTCCAAACACGAGGGTAAGAAGAACATTTAATCACATTTTTTTGTTCATTTTTGAAAATGTTTTTATTAAACATGACAACAATTTAACCCTAAGGATCACTAATTGATTATGATATGATGAATGTTCCTACAGTTGGACCCAAACCATAAAGAAACTAGTGTTTGGGAAATAAATCTAGCCAAACCTTAACCATAGAAGAATCCCAGAAAACAAGGAAAATATCATTTTATGTGTAACGGAGAATTTTAGAACGCAAATAATTGTTTTTTCATGAAACAGATAAGAGTGTCACATCAAAGCTTTTATGTGTGATTTAACAAACCGAATATTTAGTCTTTAGTAAGGAAGAAATATCTGCTACTGGCATTTGCAAAGAGTTGTGAGAAATTCTGATTCAACTGAAGTTGGAAATCAACTTTGATCATCAAAGTGTAAACTTTTCAGTCCCTGGTAATATGTCTAAATTCTGCTTTGAAAACTACAGTAACAGAAATGGTGACCCGTGCCCCTTTCACACCAACGCGTTTTCAGGGCGGCTCGGAGCTAGAGCCTGAAAAGTACCGGTCTTTCCTCTTCACACCGCAGCGGCGCCGCCTCTAAGCTCCGGATTCCGGTTCGTTTCCAGCTCCAAAAAAGTGTCGGTCTAGAAGCAAGACTCCGGAGCTAAGAGGCGTGCAGGAAACTAAACCCACCTCCCCTGAACATGGGTCGACTGAAGAGTCTCGTCATGCCTGCCTACAAGCAGTAGTGCTGAGCAAAGTGACTAGAAGGCAACCACACATTTATAAAAAGAAACACACTTTATAAAGTCAGGCAACACTAACCAGGCTTCGTGTGATTCTGTTTATTTGTACCTTACTTTGACCATCCGTTCGCTGTTATTGATCATTGTGGAGAGAGGCAGACGTTTTGTTTTGTAGTACAGCAGCTATCGGATGGAATCAATACATGGGCTGCACAGGTTGTCGTGTCCGACTATCACAAGTAGAATCATAAAGAAAAATACGCCGGTAAAATGTGCCTGTAGAAAACGGCTTATGCCACAAGAGGATAGCAATAGCAAGTAGTCAGTTTAGCTTTGGTATGCTAACATCACCCATTTTATACCAGAGACACTTTAATAACAGCGTTGTGATGCCAAACAGCGTCAATTCAGACTGACACACATTCACTTAAGGGGAACTGGGGATATGTATCAGCTGCTTGTTTGACAGTCAGACAGTGAATATTTTAGAGAGTCCGCTCTAAAGTATTAGCTAACCCGGAGCTAACGGGAGAATAAACTCCCGTGGAAGAGCAGCACTGCAGCGGTCCGTAAATGCCGCTGAAACACATTAATAAACAATGAACCACGACACTCTGGAGAAAAGTATAAGGTTGGAGAAGTCGTTATTTAATTTAATCTAGCTTTGTATGATTAAAAGCAACACGATCATCGACCCAACGCAGTCCCCCATTGTTGTTGTTTTTGTTGTTGTTGTTGTAGTGAGCGACGTAAACGGTGACGTCATGACGCAGCAGCGGCAGCACCAGTCGGCCTCTGGGCGGTGTGAACAAACGGGGGCTGAAAAGAAAAACGGTTCCGAACCAGAAGAGCTCTAGCACGGAGCTAGAACGGGAACCGCGTTGGTGTGAAAGCCCT